TCGCAACAATGGAGCATGTATCATGTATTTAAGGTTGAGTTTTAATAAAATTATGTCTAAAATCGTACAATGAGCACCATTTTGGACATTTTATGTCTAAAGTCGTATGAAGTGCACCATTTTGTCCATTTTATGTCTCAAGTCGTATGATGTCCACCATTTTGGACATTTTATGTCTAAAGTCGTATAATGTGCACCATTTTGGACATTTTATGTCTAAAGTCGTATAATGTGCACCATTTTGGACAATTTATGTCTAAAGTCGTATGATGTGCACCATTTTGGACATTTTGTGTCTAAAGTCGTATGATGTGCACCATTTTGGACATTTTATATCTATAGTCATATAATGATCACCATTTTGGACATTTTATGTCTAAAGCCGTATAATGTGCACCATTTTGGACAATTTATGTCTAAAGTCGTATAATGTGCACCATTTTGGACATTTTATGTCTAAAGTCGTATAATGTGCACCATTTTGGACAATTTATGTCTAAAGTCGTATGATGTGCACCATTTTGGACATTTTGTGTCCAAAGTCGTATGATGTGCACCATTTTGGACATTTTATATCTATAGTCATATAATGATCACCATTTTGGACATTTTATGTCCAAAGTCGTATGATGGGCACCATTTTGGACATTTTGTGTCCAAAGTCGTATGATGTGCACCATTTTGGACATTTTATGTCTAAAGTTGTATGATGTGCACTATTTTGAGCATTTTATGTCTAAAGTCGTATAATGTGCACCATTTTGGACAATTTATGTCTAAAGTCGTATTATGTGCACCATTTGTACATTTTATGTCCAAAGTCGTATGATGTGCACCATTTTGGACATTTTGTGTCTAAAGTCGTATGATGTGCACCATTTTGGACATTTTATATCTATAGTCGTATAATGATCACCATTTTGGACATTTTATGTCTAAAGTCGTATAATGTGCACCATTTTGGACAATTTATGTCTAAAGTCGTATAATGTGCACCATTTGTACATTTTATGTCCAAAGGCGTATGATGTGCACCATTTGGACATTTTGTGTCTAAAGTCGTATGATGTGCACCATTTTGGACATTTTATATCTATAGTCGTATAATGATCACCATTTTGGGAATTTTATGTCTAAAGTCGTATGATGTCCACAATTTTGGACATTTTATGTCTAAAGTCGTATAATGTGCACCATTTTGGACAATTTATGTCCAAAGTCGTATAATGTGCACCATTTGTACATTTTATGTCCAAAGTCGTATGATGTCCACAATTTTGGACATTTTATATCTAAAGTCGTATGATGTGCACCATTTTGGACAATTTATGTCTAAAGTCGTATGATATGCACCATTTTGGACATTTTATGTCTAAAGTTGTATGATGTGCACTATTTTGAGCATTTTATATCTAAAGTCGCATAATGTGAACCATTTTGGACCAAAGTCATATCCAAAGCACCGCCTAAGACACTTTGTATCAAAAACCGTGTGCTGTGTACCACTATTGGCACATTGTTTTACATAGCACTATTAGGAACACTTTGTCACAAAAGTCGCATGCAACACACCATTTTGAACATTTTTGTGTCTTTAGCCACTTAAGTCGCACGCAGAACACGATTCCGGGCAGTCTAAATACAATATTAAATCTCATAGATTCACTTTCATACCTTAAAACTCATATATCATCTCAAAGTCTTATCTGCTAGGCATTTTGCATATTTTTCTGACACAAAATCTCCTAAGAGAATCTCAAAAGAAGCTACACAACACGTCGCACCAGGCAGCACGAAATTGAAAAGTGAACAAGAAGTCAAAAATTTATGACAAATAAACAAGATCCTAAACAGCAGAATGAGAAAAATTCTTACTCTCTCTCGGCGCTATTTTGTTCCTTCTCGTCTCGTTTAATTTTCATATTTTCAAATTTACACGTTTTGAGCTTTTTATGCTGCTTATTGCTGCCTTCTCAATTTATATCGTGTTATTATTGCTACCGTCGTGTTACTTTAGTTGTTGTTTATTTGAATTTACGATGACAATTTGAGAGTCTCAAGCTGTTTGTGCTGCCTGTTTAGCTTCAGTGAACCTTTGTTGTTGCCACTTCAGTCTTCTGTTATTGAGAATCAAGCAAACATGCTGAATTATTGGAGGGTAAAAAAGTTCCATGTATGTTTTTTTTTGGAGAACTTTTTTGAGTATTTTGTTTGTTTGAGCTCGTGCGTGTTAAATTATATTTGTTGGAGGTTGGTGGAGGAAGTGGGAAGTGATCTCGAAGAGTTTTGCAACATTTTTAATTGTATGATGTACAAAGTGGTGTGCTGCTCACGGTTATTGTCATACGATCTCTTAATAAATGAGTTTGAAATAATCATTAGTCAAAGTGGTGTGTCTTACACGACTCTTGACACAGAATGCCTAAAATAGACAGTATTAAGCAAAAACTGTTCAAAAAGGTGTGTTGTGCACGACTTTTGCAACTCAACGTTCAAGAGGGAGTGTCTTAAATTACTGTAGACTCAAAATAACCTGAGTAGGACTCTTCACACGGATTTCGACATTCAACTGATCATACAAGCACTCTGTCCTTGGCTTTTAAACCAAATTGGTTCAAAATGGTGTGCTGCACACGACTCTGGATACATAATGATGAAAGTACTATTCCGTTCATAGTTTTTGACACACAATGATCAAAATCGTGTACTGCACACAACTTTATACATTTAATAGACATAGTAGTGCAAACTACATGACATTTCTGCCTACAAGCCAAGCCAATTATGTAAAAAACCTTCTCACACCCCGTAGCTATAAAAGGCAATTTTTATTTGTTTCATGTTTGTCATGTAAAAAAAAATTTTCATTTTTATATTTTTTCCATCATCGTTCCTTATCAACAGTCAGTCAATCTCATGACAATGGAAGTGAAATGTGCATGTAGATCAGTGGTGTCCAACCTTTTTTGTGTCAAGGCACACTTACTGATCAAAACAAAACACAGCATAAGGTTCATTGGATATCTCAAATATTTTCACAGTATACTAGTGAACCGCGGCACACGGGTTGTCCATTACTGATGTAGATGTATAAATGCGAAACAATAAACACAGTAAAAATTTACATAACAACAATAAAAAATGAAAATGATGTAAATTACATGCACTGTGCTATAAATAATGTCTTTTGTTCCTTTTTGAGGCAATTCCGTTGCTGACATTTAATTATGTTTTGGGAAGATAGCATCATGCGAAGCCTATAATGGCTTTTTTGATCTTGCAAAATGGAAAATTTTTACTCATCCTGACCTAAATTTACCAAAAAAAGGAACCGCAAAAAAGCAGTAAAACTGTAAGTCGACATAAACATTTTAATTTCATTACGACGAGCCTTTTTTTATGGATATAAAGATGAGAACGGCACACAAACATTTATTAATTCAATAAATTTGCATGCGTAAAAGCAGAATTGCGTTGAGGTGTCAGCTCATAAATTTTATGAATTAACGACATAATAACTTGATGATAAGTGCGGTTAAATTAGGAATAAGTTTTGCAATTAAAGACGGCAATTAAAATAATGCTTACAAAAAATATACAAAATTAAGTTCATATAAATAGAATTGTGGGTTTTACGTGCTACTCTTAATATGAGGATTATCCGCCTACTTCAATCTGAATTCGTGCATTTCATGTTTGTCGAGTATGGACTCGAAAATGTGATTGTACTGAAGTACTTTTTTGTGAATTTAGCGTATTATACATCGGAATGGACTTAGATTGATACGAGAAGACTACACCTAGATAAACCCGAGATGACTAAACTTAGCTCAACCCGAGATGACTCAACTTAGCTCGACTCGATATTACTCAACTTAGCTCAACCCGAGATGACACAACTTAGTTCGTCCCAAGATGACATAGTTCAGCTCGACCTGAGATGACCAAACTTAGCTCGTCCCAAGATGACATAACTCAGCTCGACCTGAGATGATCAAACTTAGCTTGTCCTGAGATGACATAACTCAGCTCGACCTGAGATAACCAAACTTACACAAATTTCTGAAAATCCCTAATTTTTATGACCTCATTATGTCACATTCAACGGCACCAACGATAACTACACAGTCATTGACAATTCTCACATGTCTGAAACTGATTGTTAAACTGACAACATTGTGGCGTGTCAAAAAACTTTTTTTCCATATTTATTTAAACTGTGTAACTGAAAAAAAAAGGAGGAAAGTTGTGCATTTATTGTTGCTATTGAACATGACTGTGGCATATGTTGATGCATATTGCGTGCGTGAAGTGGAAATAAAAACAATATTGACATTGTTATCATCAACGGCTTGTTGGTTATGTTTAAATAATTAAAATATAATTTTATTGTAGTTTTTTTTTTTGTGTTGATAATAATGGATTGCTATAGGGGTGCATTTTTATCATATTTCTTTGTTTTATTTTTGGAACACGAGTTTGAATGGCGGTCACTAGGGATGGAGATTGAGTCAGGCGCTTAGCCAGGGGGGATTTGGGGGATCAATTCACTTTCATCGTCAGAAATTTCTCTATAATGCTGGGGTTTTTATGAAAACTATGCAAAAATCAAGACCTCCCACCCTCACGAGTAAGCCAGAAGATGGAACTCCAAAATGATTTTTTTTTGAAGTTCACAACCACAAATTATGCAAGAGCTCTCAAAAATATCCACCCACATAGCTCATTATAGGAAAAATAACAACATTGTTCAATAATACCGCATGATATATTACACGACAACAGCATACACCATCATAATTTATTTTCATTAACAATATCGCAATTTTATTTATTTTTTTCTGTGGAAATAAAAACTTTTTTTTATGCTTACTTGCTGATGATAGCCAACATTGAATTGAAAAAGTTTTTAATTGAATAATTAACAATGACACGATGTGGTGATATTTTGGATATGGCAAGTCAATTAGCAACTGTAAATTGTTCAGGATTTTTTTATATTATTGAAGATCCAGAGGCTTTAGCTGACTCAAATTGGGACTCATTATGTTGTTATCCCCTTGGGACCCTTGAGATTTGACCAAATGTTTCTTCTTAATTTTAAATTGTCTAAGCACATCAACAACACTACGTCGATGTCGACTAAAAATCAAACCTTCAATTGAGGACATTGGATGAATTTTTGCATATTTTACTTTCTTGCTCTTCAATTTGCGACATAAAATCTCCAAACTTAAATTTTTCCTACAACATTTAACCCCCAAAATCAACTCAACAACAAAAATTAATCCAGAAATAATGCAAAATCCTAGAAAAATGTTAAAACCAAATAGAAGATCATCAATCCTTAATATCATCGGTTCTGACTCATCTTTTGGATATTTTCTTCGAACAAGGACACGAGTCTTGATTAAATGTGTAGTAATTCCCGTGTCTGTAAGCTTATCGACTGTATCTTTTATCATTCTGAAGTAAAATGACGAATGTTGTGTAGCGATTCCAATATTTGTTGAAAAGAATCTATCATCAAGTTGGTTCCATGGGTTCTGTCCAATGTTCTGGGTGTCATAAAATGTTGTCATAATATCATCGACAATAAGTGCAATTTTAGCTGATGAATTTTGTGATTGGGTTTGGACTAGCTGATCATCCTCGTTGTATTTTAACGGTTTAACTGAAGGCCTAAAATTATTAGAAATTTTTGAGGTTATGTTCTGACTTTTTGAGGTTAGGTTTTGAATTTTTGAGGTCAGGTTTAAAACTTTGAGGTTAAGTGCTGAGAGATTCTAAATTTGAAGATTAGGTTCAAAATTTTGAGGTTAAGTACTATTTTTTAAAAAGGTTCTAAAATTATAAGTTAAGTGCTGAAAATGATCTAAATTTGGAGATTTGGTTCAAAATTTTAAGGTTAAGTGCTGATTTTTTTTAAAAAGGTTCTAAAATTATAAGTTAAGTGCTGAAAAGGATCTAAATTTGGAGATTAGGTTCAAAATTTTAAGGTTAAGTGCTGAAATTTTAAGTTAAGGTTCAGAACTTTTAAGGTTATGTTCAAAATTTTAAGGTTAGGTGCATAATTTTTTAGAGTAAGGGTTTGAATATTTGAGCTTAAGTTTATAGTTTCCACAACTTTTGAACTAACCATTTATCCTTCTCATCCATAACCAAATTATAAACCAATGATGTTGCAGTCTTCGAACTTTCCGGGACATTAAAGACCATTATTGAGTAACTCATGTCAATCAAATCTTGTGGAGTCTTTGGTGGAGCCCGTCTCGGCTCACTGGTCATGAACTCGAAAGACTTGCTCTGAAAACATGTCCTAAAAATCAAGCAAAAGACAATAAAAAGTGTCAAAATGAAGCGTGAAAAATTCTCGGTTGGTAATTTGGTCTGTGATATTCCAAAAAAGATGCTAATGACATTCCACATTGGATTTTCAACTTGCTTGCCATAAACAATGTTCTGCGATGACTTGGATAGTCTGTTGATGATCAGAATTGACAAAATAGTCAGTATGAAGGTCACAAGCAATAGAATCCACGTCTCATAGTCAAATGGAAGTAAGAGCTTCTCATAAGCTGTATATGCATCTGCTGGAGTTGTAATCACTAAATATCTGACCTCCTCAAAAGTATTTGTCATTCGAATTGTTTGGTGACTCAAATCACTAGCGCTATATACAAAGTAGACAACATTTGGCTCATTGAATGTGTTGTTGACAGCTAAATATGTAATTGTTTCTGGATTGAAAGTTTCAAGCCATTTCATGTCGGCTATTTTTGTTGGTTGATAAACAGCTGTAAAATTGTGCTTTTTGGCTGCTGATTCGAAGATTTCAGGTGTTAAGCCATGTGCTGCATATCAGCTTTGGTCTGGATATAGCTCACCATATCCCCAATAAAAGTCATTATTGTGGCTTTGATAGTTCATTGGAAGCATTTTAACCAGTTGACAGCCTTGAAAATTCATAAATTTTTCATAATTTTGAAGCTTTTTTGTCCATTTTTTGGTTATTTTGTTGAATGTATTGACTCTTGTAAGTTGTGGTTGATTGCAGACGTTTCCAAACCACTCAACAGTAGCTAAAGTCACAAAATGATCCTCAATGATGATAAAGAATGCGTGATAGAAAATTGATGCCGTAAGTTTCGATATTTTAGGAAAGTTTTTAACAATTTTACTATTTTCAATATCAAAAAATGTTGAATTTGCGATAAAAATGAAAAACAAGATTGGATTATTACCATAGCGGATGAATCCAACAGCGTTAAGATATTGAGTCAAAATGTCAACAGATTCAACAAAAATAATCGCTGGACGTTTTAAAAATCTAGGTTGTGGTATGCCAGGGAAGAATTCCAAATTATAGCTAAAAGATTCTTGTGATTTTGATAGAAAACTTGTCAAAATAATTGATAAATTGTCAGAAAATGGCGTGAAGATGATTACATTGAATGGTAAATTCTGTTTAACTAAGAATGTGTCAGCAATGTCTTGAAGAGCTTGAGCATTTAAATCCACAATATTTTCACTAAAAACTATCTTAAAAATCAATAAAACTAATAAAATTGAATGAAATTTTAACTTTGACATAATTTTGTTTAATTTTATTTAACTTTGTCACACTAAACACTTGAACAGGACTGATTTCCTTCGAAATATAACGAAAATAAATTTTATTTATGTTCATAAAATCATATCAGATTTCAAGAATCTTGTACACCACAAAAAGACAAATTTCTGGAAGGTACAATTGCCGTCTCACTTGTCTTTTTAAAAAATTCAGATGCCTTCACACTTGTCTTATAGCGATTCAGATGCCTTCACACTTTTCCTATAGAGATTCAGATGCCTTCACACTTGTTTTATAGAGATTCAGATGCTTTCACACTTGTACTATAGAGATTCAGCTGCTTTCACACATGTCTTAAAGAGATTAAGCTGCCTTCACACTTGTCTTATAGAGATTCAGATGCGTTCACACTTGTTTTATAGAGATTCAGATGCTTTCACACTTGTCCTATAGAGATTCAGCTGCCTTCACACTTGTTTTATAGAGATTCAGATGCTTTCACACTTGTACTATAGAGATTCAGCTGCTTTCACACATGTCTTAAAGAGATTAAGCTGCCTTCACACTTGTCTTATAGAGATTCAGCTGCCTTCACACTTGTCTTGTAGAGATTCAGATGCCTTCACACTTGTCCTATAGAGATTCAGATGCCTTCACACTTGTCCTATAGAGATTCAGATGACTTCACACTTGTCTTATAGAGATTCAGATGCCTTCACACTTGTTTTATAGAGATTCAGATGCTTTCACACTTGTACTATAGAGATTCAGCTGCTTTCACACATGTCTTAAAGAGATTAAGCTGCCTTCACACTTGTCTTATAGAGATTCAGCTGCCTTCACACTTGTCTTGTAGAGATTCAGATGCCTTCATACTTGTCCTATAGAGATTCAGATGCCTTCACACTTGTCCTATAGAGATTCAGATGACTTCACACTTGTCTTATAGAGATTCAGATGCCTTCACACTTGTTTTATAGAGATTCAGATGCTTTCACACTTGTACTATAGAGATTCAGCTGCTTTCACACATGTCTTAAAGAGATTAAGCTGCCTTCACACTTGTCTTATAGAGATTCAGCTGCCTTCACACTTGTCTTGTAGAGATTCAGATGCCTTCATACTTGTCCTATAGAGATTCAGATGCCTTCACACTTGTCCTATAGAGATTCAGATGACTTCACACTTGTCTTATAGAGATTCAGCTGCCTTCACACTAGTCTTTTGAAGATTCAGCTGCCTTTACACTTTTATTTTAAAGATTCAGATGCCTTCCCATTAGATCTTTATAGTTCAGGACAATGCAAACTTGACTAAACTTCTGCTTCTGTTATTGCAAAATTCTTCCCATCTGGTTCATTTTTCTCTTCAATTTTTGCACTTATTTGAAGATGTCTATCAACTCAAGACTTATATTATGCTCAGGTATACAAATCTGGCTCATTGGGTATGTTTTAGCGTACTTAATTTTCCTTAATTCTGATTTTCTTCTAAAACAATTTGATTTGTGAATATATCTTATCGCCAAAATCAACTCCATTACAAATGCAAGCCCAGAGATGCCACAAAATCCCAAAAAAATATTAAAACCGAATGATAAGTCATTTAAGCTTAACATCTCGGGACCTAATTCAGTTGTCTTATATAATTCATAGTAGAATATATTAGTTTGAATTAAGTATTTAACCACGCCCGTTTCAACAAGTCTATTAACAGTATCTTTAAGTATTCTCGCATAAAATGCAGTTTGACGATATCCAATTGCAACGTGATCAACAAAAAAAGCCTTACTAAATTTATTCCAGTTATTTTCACCGTACACTTCTATATTCAGTCTCGTGAAGTCATCTACAATTAAGGAGATTTTGGCTGTTGAATTTTGCGATTGCGTATGAATAATTGAGTTCATTTCATTACTGTCGACTACTTTTATAGGAGGCCTACAAGAAAAGAAAAAGTGATTGTTTAAAATGGAATGAAATTTTCTTAGTTCTGATGCATTGACATAGAACATTCTTTATTCAGGTGCATTCACACAAATCAGTCTTGATTTAGGTGCATTCACACAGAACAGTCTTAATTCAGGTGCATTTAAACAGAAAATTTTTGGTTCAGGTACATACACATAAAAAAGTTTTGATTCAGGTGCACTCACACAAAAAATTCTTGATTCTGGTGCATTCACACAAAAAAGTCTTGACTCAGGTGCATTTACACAAAACAGGCTTGATTCAGGTGCATTCACACAAAACAGTCTTAATTCAGGTGCATTCACACAAAACAGTCTTGATTCAGGTGCATTCACACAAAACAGTCTTAATTCAGGTGCATTCACACAAAACAGTCTTGATTCAGGTGCATTCACACAAAACAGTCTTGATTCAGGTGCTTTCACACAAAACAGTCTTGATTCAGATGCATTCACACAAATCAGTGTTGATTTAGGTGTATTCACACAAAACAGTCTTAATTCAGGTGCATTCACACAAATCAGTCTTGATTCAGGTGCATTCACACAAATCAGTCTTGATTCAGGTGCAATCACACAAAACAGACTTGATTCAGGTGCATTCACATAAAAAATTTTTGATTCAGGTGCATTCACACAAAACAGTCTTAATTCAAGTGCATTCACACAGAAAATTTTTGGTTCAGGTACATACACATAAAAAAGTTTTGATTCAGGTGCACTCACACAAAACATTCTTGATTCTGGTGCATTCACACAAAACAGTCTTGACTCAGGTGCATTTACACAAAACAGTTTTGATTTAGGTGCATTCACACAAAACAGTCTTAATTCAGGTGCATTCACACAAAACAGTCTTGATTCAGGTGCATTCACACAAATCAGTCTTGATTCAGGTGCATTCACACAAAACAGTCTTGATTCAGATGCATTCACACAAATCAGTGTTGATTTAGGTGTATTCACACAAAACAGTCTTAATTCAGGTGCATTCACACAAATCAGTCTTGATTCAGATGTACTCACACAAAACAGTCTTGATTCAGGTGCAATCACACAAAACAGTCTTGATTCAGGTGCATTCACATAGAAAATATTCTTGATGTAGGTGCCTTCACACTAGAGTTCAAAGGATCAAGTGTGTTAAAATAATTGCTCTTTCTGTTCAGGTGCATCCACATCAAAATAACTTACATGCTTTCTTTTTCATCCTTTATCAAAGAATAAATTAAAGGTTCAGCCTCTTCATCACCGTTCCTAGAAAATACTGTAACCATTTCATAATTCATATCAATTAAATCTTGTTGTGTTTTTGGCGGTGCTCTCCGTGGTTTAGTTGTCATAAATTCATAAGATTTACTCTGAAAACATGTTCGAAAGATCAAACAAAAGACTATGAAAAGTATCAAAATGAAGCGCGGAAAGCTTGTTGTTGGTAACTTTGTCTGTGATATTCCAAAAAAGATGCTAATGACATTCCAAATTGGATTCTCGACACGCTTTCCATAAACAATATTTTGGGTTCCTTTTGACAATCGATTGATGATAAAAATCGACAAAATAGTCACTACAAATGTCACAAATAGTAAAATCCACGTTTCAGTGTCAAATGGAAGTAGAAGCTTCTCATATGGCGTGTACACATCAGCGGGGGTCGTGTAAATAGTAAATTTAACATCTAAAATAAGATTAGAGACACTAATTGTACCAAATAGAATGTCCGTTAGTCCTTGAACATAAAATGACATAGTTGGATTTGTATAGGAGCTATTGATGTGGAATGGAACTGTATGTAAATTATCAAAAGTGTAAAACCAGACTGCATCCTTTACATAACATAATGAATATTTTGGCTTAAAATCATACTTTTTTGATAAAATCTCAAATATTTGAGGTGTCAAGCCAAATGTTTCAAAGCTTGTGTAGTTACGGTTAGGAATTGCATGTCCCCAAAAGAAGAATCCAAAATGTTTCACTGGAAGTTGAAAAAAGAGCTCACAGCCATGAAACTTTGTGAATTTTTCATAATTTTGAAGTTTTTTTGTCCATTTTTTGGTTATTTTATTGAATTTATTGACTCTAGTAAGTTGTGCTTGATTGCAGACGTTTCCAAACCATTCGATAGTCGCTAAAGTCACAAAATGATCCTCATTGATGATGAAAAATGCATGAAAAACAATTTCCATTGTTATGTGATCAACTTTCTCGTGGAGTTCCATCAAAAAACTATTTTTGAGTTCAGAAAATGACAAATTATTGAAATATAAAAAATATTTAGAAATTGGATCTCCGTTTGCTGAATATTTGAAGCTTAGTAAAAATTCCTCGCAAGTGTCAAGATTTTCACAAAAAATAACTCCAGGGCGACATGCAAGGTGCGGTCCACAATGAAGATTAAATCGCAGCTCATAAATGAACAAATTTTTATTATTTTGCCTTAAAAACTCGCTTAAAATTGCTAATGAATTGGATGTTAATGGTGGAACTAAATAAATATCGAACAAAAGATTTTGCTTGACTAAAAATTCGTCTACAACATCTTGAAAAGCTCACGCAGTAGCTTTACTATCGAAGTGAACTTTGACACTTTTACAAGAAATTGAATGGAAAATCAGAAAAATTGGAAAAATTGCTTTCATTTTGATTGCTTTTGATCTGGTTTAAATGGGTTGACACTATAAACTGAGGAATTTTAAACATATTCAATGCGTGAGTCAAGCTTAAAAAGACACAAAAGTTCTTCTTATTTGCTACTAGTTATATTGGATGTAGATCTTTATGACTTGTTAAACTTTCATATCACAGCTTATTTATCTTAATAAACAAATTTTATTTTAAGGTTAGATTTTATGCCTTTTTTTGGTATAACCTTCAAGTTATCTGAACTATTGACATTTAACAACAAAACTTTGAAAGTAATGAACTTACAAAAATGCCAAATAAAAGAAAATGAAGCTATAAGTTCATCCTGGACTCATTAGAGTTTAGGTGAATTCACACTAGTCAGGCGCGTTGCAACAGCGTAGCTTGGAACAATAGCAGATGAACTAGTTTCCTATCGCTATTGCTACGCTACTGATACTCGATAAATAGAATTGACATGAAACAAAACTTCCAAAAAGGATTATAACCACAAATTTTTAAAAACACAACCTTAAATTTTTTAAATTTAACCTTAATTGTCAGATTATGAGCTTAAAATGCTCAATTTGACTAAAAGAAATTCTCAATTTAACCTCAAAAATTCTTATTCTAACCTCAGAATTCTCATTTTAACCTAAAAAAATCTCAATTTAACCTCAAAAATTGCCATTTTAACCTTAAAAATTCTCAGTTTAACCTCAAAAATTCTTATTCTTACCTCAGAATTCTCATTTTAACCTCAAAAAATCTCAATTTAACCTCAAAAATTGTCATTTTAACCTCAAAAATTCTCATCCTAATTTCAGAATTCTCTTTTTAACCTTAAAAGTTTTCAATTTAACATCAAAAATTTTCAGCCTTAACTCAAACTTGATCAAATTAACCTCAAATAATCTCAGAAATTAAAAGAAAGCAATGCGCTTCTCTTACCTAATCTCAAGTTACTTCTCAACTTGTTCATTAAAAATCTTAATAATAAAACTTTTAATCGCTCATCTCCCGAGGTTTCATAAATCCTCCTCAAGTTCATCACAATTTTTCTGCAGTTATCTCACAAATTACAATTTAATCGCATTTATTACGAAAAACTTCACAACGATTTTCTTCAAAAAATTACCCCCCGCAGCTTCATAAAGCCATTGGAAAAGTATTTTACAGATTTTTCTCTTTCTGAATCGCATTTAATGGCTTTCCGATCTCTTTTCTGTAATTATTCTCGACCCTTTTATTTTTGTTCTTGATCGATTTTGTCCCTTTTTTTATCAAAAGGTTTTTTTTACAATCCAAAGCTCATTACGTCGATTAAAGGCCGATAAAATTGGTCACAAAGACGATTTTCATGTCCTGAACTTCATTAATGATCATAGAAACTGAAAGTAAATTAATGTCAGCAGACAGGTGCGCGGATTGAACACTAAACGGGGATTTATTTTGACCTTTTTCATTTAAAGTTAAAATACTAAAATCTGAGCTTGCTGCAGGGGAGTAATTAATGGATGGAGAATAAGATAAGATTTGTCGATTAAAATAGAAAAGAAGAAAAGTTCACTGGAGGGTCTAATTAGATTAATTTGAGATAAAATGTTTTTGTTTGAGTTTTAATGACTTTTTTGTTGTTAGTTGTTGAATATTGTTGTCATGTGAGATTTATTTAGATTTAATTCAGCAACATAACCTAAAATTCAGCATCATAACCTCAAAATTAAATTTTTAACCTCAAAAGTAAGCATCATTTAGCAATATAACCTCAAAAGTAAAAACACTATTTCAAAAGGAAGCAACATTACCTCGAAATTAAGCAACATAACCTCAAAGGTAAACAATAACCTCAAAATGCAGCGTTACAATCCAAAATAAAGCAACATAACCTCAAAAGTGAACAATAACCTCAAAATGCAGCGTTACAGTCCAAAATGAAGCAACATAACCTCAAAAGTAAACAATAACCTCAAAATGCAGTGTTAAAGTTAAAAATGAAGCAGCTTAACCTCAAAAGTAAACAATAACCTCAAAATGCAGCGTTACAATCCAAAATGAAGCAACATAACCTCAGAAGTAAACAATAACCTCATAATGCAGCGTTACAATCCAAAATGAAGCAGCTTAACCTCAAAAGTAAACAATAACCTCAAAATGCAGCGTTACAATCCAAAATAAAGCAACATAACCTCAAAAGTAAACAATAACCTCAAAATGCAGCGTTACAATCCAAAATAAAGCAACATAACCTCAAAAGTGAACAATAACCTCAAAATGCAGCGTTACAATCCAAAATAAAGCAGCTTAACCTCCAAATTCATCAACATAACCCGAAATGTAAGCAAAATGAACCAAGAAGTTCGGACTAAAACAAAAAAAAAACATTTAAAAATCTTTAAGAAAATCAAATAAAAAAATAAAGACTCCAAAAGCGACAAAATGAGCCGAACAAGAAGACCATAAAATAAAAATTATACAAAATCTTAAACTGTCGCATGAACATCGAGGATGATGAGCTAAATAAACACGAAAATGAAATTCTCTTCATCATTTTTTTTATAACATTTTATGGCTTAAAGAAAGTGAAATTAATGCAAATGTAAAGGACAAAGCACATCAGAGCTAGCAAGACGAGACAAATTACCACGGATGGCATTCAAAGTGTCTTAAATAAACAAGTGAATAATATAAAAATTGAAAGTCCATTACGTTAATAACATAAAATCATTAAGTAAAAGCTTGAAAAGAAGAACAAACAACAAACATTAGAGATGAATGGGAAGGAAATGAGGACGAAGATGATGAAGAAGTTGAGAATGGACGGAAAAAAATGACTTTTTCATAAAACTGAAAGGAAAGAAAAGTTGAAAAGGTTTCGCAATAATCACTTGTTTGTTTTCATATTTATGATGAAGGACTAGATTTTGTGATCTTAAAGCAAACAAATTAAAGATTGAGTTTCGAGTTACTTGATATATTTAAGGTTATAATACTTTAAGGTTATGATGCTTTCTTTTGAGGTTATGATCTCATAGTTTGAAGCTAGTTAATTGAGTTTTGTGGTTAAGCAGCTGAATTTTAAGGTTATGTTGCTTAATTTTAAGGTTATATTGCTGAATTTTTGAGGTTATTTTACTGAATTTTGAGGTTATTTTACTGAATTTTGAGGTTAAATTGCTGAATTATGAAGTTAAGTGGCTGAAATTTTGATGTGAAGTTGTTATATTTTGAGGTTATGTTGCTGAATTTTTGAGGTTATATTGCTTAATTTTGGATTGTAACGCTGCATTTTGAGGTTGTATTGCTTAATCTTAAGGTTAAGTTGCTGAAATTTTGATGTGAAGTTGTTGGATTTTGAGGTTATGTTACTGAATTTTTGAGGTTATATTGCTGCATTTGAAGTTAAGTTGCTGAATTTTCGAGGTTATATTGCTTAATTTTAAGGTTAAGTTGCTGAATTTTTCATGTGAAGTTGTTGGATTTTGAGGTTCTGTTGCTGAATTTTCACAAACACTTCCCACGAATTCACAACAATAATAATTTTCATTTCTAATACAATTTAAACTTGTCAAGCGTATGACAATTCTCAATTTCAATCAAATTCGCTTTGCATCATAAATTCTTTTGTTCAATATTCGATTGATATATGAGCTTCTGTTGCCAGCTTTTTCTGCTATTTTTTCCCCACTTCTTTTGTTTCCCATTTGCTTTGTGTCGTTCCTATACAAACATTTGACTTAGAAAATGGGATAAAAAAAAATATTTCCTCAATTTTTATTGTTCATTTTTTTCTCTTTCTTTGTTTGAATGAAGGAAAAAAAATAAAAAGCTTTTTTATGCTCTTGTTGTATGATGCATACATGATGTGCATAAAATTTTCCTCTACGCCGCTCACAGAAAGGGATGACTTTTTATTTGTGTAAAAACAAGCAAAAAAAAAATGCTTTTATTGAGAAAAGTTTTGATGGAGAATAAAAAAATCTTTTACAGCTCAAAAAAATTTTTTTTTACTCGGCTTTTCAGGTTGCAAAATTAAATTTTTTTTTGAAATGATTTTAATTTCAACTGTGGGGTTTAACGAGGGTTTGGAACTGAAAAATTACACTTTGATCATTTTTGATTTTTTAAATATTTTTTCCGTGTTTTTTCACGTTTTCACGAGTTTTGCAGTTTTTTGAAATGATGAATGTAACCACAAAGTTCTAGTTTGTGCTCTGTAAAAATAAAATTTATTAATAATTGTGACTTTAAATAATATTAAATTATTATGGTTTGGTCGTTTGTGCAATTTGTTTTTTTGAGGGTATTTTCAGTGGTTCTGGCTGGTTTAAAAAAGAGCAAAGATGCTTAAGTGGCCTAAATGACTCCAAGATGATTCCAGATATGTCAAAGAGGGTCAAATGAGTTCAAGTAATTTTAGTGAAATTGGCCGTTTATTTTTTTACCTAGGAGATGTGCACTTATGACGTTCCGCAAAGGGAGATGGAGGTTCAGTCAGCAAAGAACAATAAAAATTCCTTGAAACCTTTTTTTAAATTTAACGTTAATTTTGGACGTCAAAGGTGAACGGCCCCTTACATTAAAATAAAAATTCGCT